CCCTCCCCATAAATAATTACCACTCCCTTATTTTATTTCTATACTCTGTTTAATTTAAGTAAATTAAGTAAACTTTAGATTATTATCGTTATTTTTATCTAACTTACCTATTTTTACCTGTAAATATAGAATAGATTGAATACCTATGTTCTTATACCCTGTAATTCCAAAGTAATTCAGTTGTTACTGCTAGTTTGGAAATTTATAATAATAATAATAATAATTAATTTGGCGTTTAAAAATGGCCGTCGAAATGTCGTAAGAGTGTGTTAGCGCGCACTGCTTCCTATGATGAAAACCTTTGCGTAGACAAAATTATAGAGTGATCAAACATGAGACAGATAGGTTTTGAACCTTTCAAAGTTCGATGTCGAATTGACAGTTGAAATAGTACCAAACTCCAAGCTGAAATGTGCAACTTTATCGTGTATATTTTTGTCAATTTTGTTTACTGGCCTTTGTTAAATTCACTTGCAATGGCTCGACATAAGTTACAACATACAAACTGAGCAGAGCCCATGAAAAAGCTATCCATACCCCTACAGTCATTCAGCTTCCTTGTTATTTAGAAGTACGTGGTTGCCCATTAGTCGAAGAAGAATTGCTATTGTATGTGCTTGTTTGCACTTTGCACTTCCTTTCCTGAAAAAGGCTACAATATTAAGGCTAAATAGCAGAGACATATGACCCAATAATCCATGCAATTAAAAATATCTATCAAATTAACTTCAAAAATCGTGATTTGAGGAATTATATTTATCAGGCAACCCATATATAATTTAGTGACAGGTCTTGGGATGGGTGTACTACAAAACTATATTGACTGAAGTTTTGGAAAAATTTAGCTAACTTTTGAAGGATTTTATTAGATCCCGTTCACATGAGACTGGAACGAAGTCAATTAACCGGGACCATTTCGTTTTGGTCATAATAGTAATAGACCAAGCCGACTGACTTCAGACCAGCATGAATTCAGACCGGAATGAATGTTGACATTGGAACAAGTGAACAACACATGCTAACAAAAGCCATCTAAAAAAGAAAATTACCTGGCAAGGGGAATAAATTGAAAATTTTGTGATTTTCATACCCGTCTCATGTAAACATGTTGACAATTTCAATTTTCATTCCAGTTTGGTTTCATCCTGGTCTCGCGTCGAATGCAATTGAAACAATAGATAATCAAGCTCAATGAGGTTTATCATCTCATCTATTGCCTAGCTTAATTGCATTCGACACGACAAAAATTCGACGTATAAAACGGACCTAAAACAGTTAGCTACAGTTCTATTATAAAAGTTGTATTATTCGACACAAATTATGTTTTAATTTGCATTTCTGAGTAAAGAATGTTGGAAAATTTTCAAATTAATCCAGTCATATACTTTAGTTGGGTAGTGGCGTCGACACCATATTGATAAGCTTTTACTTTTGTCACACCTCCTCAAATAACTGAGCTTCCTATTGACCCGTGTGAAGTAGACATTCCAAGCTGCTAAAATCGAAAAAAGCCAGTGAGTCCAGTTCCCATTTATACACAATCCTAAAACGTCAGGAGATTTGCCAATACATGCAATAGTCGCTTTCTACTAAGCCCCTGTATGGGAGCTTGAGGGAAGCTATCGGAGAGGGAAGTAAAAGGTGGGGGGCTTATATTAATTTATTACACTGGCCTGTAGGCCAAGTGTCTTAAATCCCTCTTTTTCTGTTTTCCCTCTTTTTCTGTTCGACGAGAAATCGAGTTTGCGTTAGGTCATCGCAGGCTCAGGGTGCAACGTGCTCCACTGACATATTCAGTTCAGTTTCAAAATGGCGGCTTTTCACTGAGCGACTTAATATATATTTCACACAGTTTCGTTGATTTTACCGCATTGTATCGCACTCTGGCCTTTCTTGCGTGTTGAATTAGAGTGTTTTTCTTTGTGTAACGACTCGAAAACCCCAAAATTTGGACCCAGCGAATTTATACAATATAGTGGAATATATAAAACAAGGACAAGTTAAAGGTTTGACAGTTTGACTTTTTAATTAACAAGTATAAATATACGTTGTAGGCTCATAAACATGCGTTGTGCTAATAGATATATAGGAGATCTAGATTGCTAACGCATACCTAGCGCAGGTGGGGCCTACATGATAAATCCAAGATGGCGGTACAACAGGGCAAAAAGACTATAGATTCTATTACGAAAATCAGGATTTTTGCAATTTTGCCGTCGCATTGTTTTGAAACTTATTCGGTACAATTGTATGGTAAAGAGAAACTTACCGCGAAGATTTTGAGCATATATATGATTGAATTGGATGAAAAATCGCAAAATTATCCAGCGATAAAAGTTCGTGTGAAATGGTCAGTTGGTCAGTTGGAGCGTTTTATTGCCAGAAATACTGTGCTATGTTAACATCTAGCCTTGTGAATGGTGTTTTATACTTGCATCTCTCATCATCATCTGCTCTGTCCTCATAATTATGAAAAATGAACTGTTATGCCCCCCCCCCTTCCTTGCTTGTTAGAGAAGTAAACTGATGAGAGCACTGGATGAGGGTCTATCATCTATGGTCTGTTATAATTTGCTTTTTATGCAAATGGTGAGCGAAAATTAAAGCAAAACTGTGCAAGTTACATATATAGTACTATATCAGTACCATACACGAACTTTTATCGCTGGATAATTTTGCGAGTTTTCATCCAATTCAATCATATATATGCTCAAAATCTTCGCGGTAATTTTCTCTTTACCATAAAATTTGACCGAATAAGTTTCAAAACAATGCGACGGCAAAAATTGCAAAAATCCTGATTTTCATAATACAATTTATAGTCTTTTTGCCCTGTTGTACCGCCATCTTGGATTTATCATGTAGGCCCCACCTGCGCTAGGTATGCGTTAGCAATCTAGATCTCCTATATCTATGGTTGTGCTCTTGTATTTATTTGCATAATTACAAATTTGCACCTAATTACATTAATTTGCGCCAAATTACTTTCTAATTCATCATATATTACCATAAAATGTATGTTTTCGATTGTATTCAGCTAAGTGGCGTTGCGTGCGGCGAAGTGAAACGTCATACGGTTCGATTTGTTTTTGGAACAAGATCCAACTCCCCCCCACACACACTTTTTTTAATTCTCAAATTGTTTATTAGATGTTTACTGGTTGGGCTTAGAGAAGGGCTTTGGGTTGGAATCAGTTTATCTTATAAATGGAAGCAAATTGGTGTATTTTTAGAAGAATTGTCTATGTCTATGAACTTTTTAGCACCTGAAACTAGCCATATAACGGCATTAAAATCAAGGACTATATAATTTCTTCGCTATTATTAACCGGTCATTATTTACGGTTGATAGTTGATGATCATAGTTACAGTGGGCCTGGCTTGTCAGGTTGAGTTGCCCGCAGCCGGAAGGTACGTCTGAGCCGGCGTCTTGGTATATTATGGTTGATAGTTGCTGATCATGATTGTATTTATTGGTTGTATTTATATGATCCAGTATCCCTATGATCCTGTATCCCTGTCTACTTCTCTACTTCTCTACTACACATTACACCCAGTACCACGAAAGTTGCCATTTTCAGGCCATTGTGAACGCCTGAGCAGGCGTCTTGTCTGTAAAATAATACGATGATTTTGTTTATAGAAAAAAATTGGTGTAAAGAAATTTAATACAGATCAAAAGTCATGCGTAATTGTATAAATAGGGGTTGACTGTTGAGTATTCATCTAAAACGGGGGCTCACTTGAAACAGAGGTTAAATATAGAGATTACGGTATTCAGTATATCACTCACTTATGATAAACTTTCAAGTTTCATTGAAAGAGATCTGCATTTACGTGAACTAAATTTGCAATTGAATATAATTGAATTAGAAAAAAGAGCGATCTGTTCTTACGTAAACTAAATTTGCAATTGAATATATATAATTGAATTAGAAAAGAGAGATCTGCATTGACGTAAGTTAAATTTGCAGTTGAATTGAATTGAATAAAAAAGACAAGCCCCACTTCATTACTTGCGTCATTTCCCTGGGGGAAACATACAAAATCTTAGCAGGTCGATAAAGCAGAACAAAACAGGAATGATACACTTAATGAAAAAACTCAAGCCAATATATCAGGCAGTCTGCATGAATTTGAATTTTGAAAATGTTGATAAATTCTTGACTTGACATCAATTCCTTGAGAATTGGAAAATAAAAAAATTGCGGCCATGTTTGTGCCAAATTTAATGAAAGATTGTTGAAATACCAACAAGGTAGCCGCCGCAGTTGCAAGTCACAACATGTGCGGATTGAGATTTTCATGCACGAGAAATTATGATACATATTATGTTTGGGATATTGACGAGAAACCATTGAAAGAATGCTCTCCCAAAATTTGGACCAACTTTGAGAGAAATATAGCAATTAGTCAATTTCTCAGACCACCGGCACCGCTGTGACGCAAACAATAGAGAGTTTGGCAGCCGCCAACGTAAATGGTAACAGCAGAAAACAAATCACTTACATTGTTGTCGATACGATTAAAAAATATCATACTTATTCATGATGGGTTATTCACCCTTTAGTTTTAACATTTTGAAGGTTTTACGACTAATTTGATCTATTTTTCGTACGGTTATGTGTGTTCAAACATCGGAACTACGAATCTACTATAAACGAATTTACCTTGTTTTGCCTGGCTCTTTAAAGTTAGCATGTGCTTTTGTTGGCATTTTAACTATTTTTCATAGAAGATTTTGTTTCCTATTACTATTTTTTAAAACGTATTTGCAATTGTTTGATAGTATAGTTATCTATATTTTTCTGTTTTATGTGCAAAGATTACCTAGACTGTCAAGAGTCAAGACACAAGAATCATGACCCAATGAATTTCTTTATTTCACTCATTTATTCAGGGCTATATCACATTTTTCTTAATTAAAATTGATTGCAGGGCTAGTTAAATTCTATACTTTTATTTGATTGGTTCTCTTAGTGCCGAGTTTCAATTGCAATCTGATTGGTTTAGAAATTATGTGATTAATTAAGCTCAGGATATGAGGCTATTAATGCTCAAAATAAAGATTTGGGTTAGATACGCACTATGTTCAACCAATCAGATTGCTAGAAATGCCATTGATTTCAAAATCCATAACTATAATAAATACGACAATTTGTGGGGACTAATGGATTTTGCCCAAGGATAAATTGATTAAATTGTGATCCGCAAATTCGGACTTTTGTAAGTGTTACGTGTTTTTTTGTTTTCTAATAAATTCTTATTAAAGCTGAATGACAGGAATTTAGTTTATGAACGTTATTTATACTGACCTATCTGTATCTGAGATTAAACACCCACGCACGAATAGTATGCTATGTTGTAAAAGGCGTCGAATGCTAGGATCCGCGGAGGCAGAAAATTTCCTCAAAATTTCTTGGCACATTAAAACATGTGTAAGACAAAATATAACTTCCCGAGAGAAGACCGTCAAAATAATATACTGTTTTGCTAACAATACTCTCATAACACTCTAAATTTCTGGGTGTTGCTACGTATACAACACGAAAATGGTGTAATCATTACATCTGTGGGGGTGGAGGCGGGGCTTCTGCCACAGCCGAAAGAATTGACGTCCATTCTTTTTTATTTCTATAAATATTTCCTTCGTTACAATATCAAAGATCGTGAAACAGTTTCACACTATCATTTAACCTACAATTCACACAAAGAAAGTTCGATATTAGTTTTCCTCAAGGAATACAGACACAAAACGGAAAGAATTCTTTGTTGAACTTTTTTGCCCTTTCCGGTCCCTGTTAATGAATACGATAAGATCTTAGTTATTTTACTTCGTCCTTTGTTTATGTAAAAGCTTCTGTGTTTACTTAGTATGCTTCCCTAATTAGGCGAAACCCATTTTTCATCAGGTGTACGAATATTTGTACCTGTTTTTCCTCCCTGAACTTGAAAGGTTCCTGAGAAAGCATCAGTTGTACAGTTTACACTGATTCGTCCCCCACTGCCTCCCCCACCGTTATTTCTCCCTAAACCACCACGCACGTTCACATCTCCGACTCCTGCAAGAGTGATACACTGGATCGCGACTCCTCCTCCACTACCTCCGCCTGACTTGCGATTTCGGTGGCCATGTTCACCATTTGTGCGTATTGAGCCGTCGATAGTAACACCAGATGCTTGGATCTTTAGGAGCCCACCTCCCTGTCCGCCGTTCCCTCCTTTGCTTCCAGGGGTATTTACGACCAGGCTTGAACCGTAAGGGACTCCTTCGTTTGCTTCTAATGTTGTTCCACTCTCAGCTCCCCCTCGGCCTCCATGACTTCCACCAGAATTCCCAGGTGCTGCCCCAGTATTTGACTCCTGGTTATAGCCCACCGATAAAACAACTCCAGAGCGGAGTCTGAAATTTCCTGAGATTATGAAGGTATGTACTGCGTTGCTTGACGAAGTGTCCAGAAGAACGTCGCTTCGAATGTCCAACGATGTGTACTTGTGTTCGCCAGGAGTAAACCTGCACGACGAGGTTATAACTGAACTGAGGCCACTCGAGCACAAGGGTAAAGCAGCTTGGCTAGTTTTACTTAAAATCAGCACAAACCACATTACCAAAATATAACATTTCATTTTTCTACCAATAGCAAGTTTTTTACTCGCTTTATTGATCATATTTTGCAGATATTTACGCCATCTTATATGAAAGGTTGCACATTCGCAAAAGTCCAACCTCACATCAAGTGTGCGATGATAAAATGAGCTTCAGTGCAAACAGGATGTGATATATAAGACTACTGAGAATGTCAAGTAATTGGGTAAATTAGCTAAGACATGTGTAAAATAAGCAACGATTAGAGCATGATCACGTGTGCGCGTTGGGATATGGAGTGCCGAAGATTATAGATAAAAGTTACAAATAAATGGTCCTGTATTTCTTATTAAACCTATTGTTTTCCTAACCCCACATTTCCTTACACTTAAATATACCATGAGATGTAGAGCAATGATATACTCCACACTGATTGGCTGAGTGCATGATGGTTCGGTCATTCTCTAAATTGCAGCCAAATAGACAGGAATGCACAAAGTTTAACATACTATATGTGACGTCAACAAAAATTGGGCACGATTATAGTCATGCCACCACTTGACTATAATTATTATGAATGTGAATATATATTAAGCTGAATCCGCATAGACAAATTAATTTTAATTATTATACATTGTAGTTGGTAAAAGTAATTTGATTGGCTAAGAGCTTACAGTTAAATCGCGCAATCACGCAACCTACAGAAAATTCAGTTATCTGCTAGCAGATAACTCAGTTATCTGCAAATGAGCCTGCGATGATTAGCAAGCGGTATCTATTTACAGTCAAAATACAAGAACCTTCCCACTTCCGCTTCTGTAACTTTGTTTTGTATTTCTGTAATTTGTTCTATTTTCTGTAGCGATTTTTGTCGGCAAATATCGCGGTAGAATTCCCCTTTCTTTCCTTTATATACGTCAATTTGTAGCAAAGGATACACCTTTCGTTAGATTCTTTGCATAAAAGTTGTGAAATTTTCATTTTAGTACGTCACTGAATGATTGCATTCGGTAATTTTAAATTTGTATAGTATGAACACACTAGGCGGCGGTTTAAAACCGATTTATCAACAAATATCGCTGTAAGATCTAAGTTTCGCAACTTTTATGCAAAGAATCTAACGAAAGGTGTATCCATTGCTACCGGATCCTAACGCGATATGTGCCGATAAAGCGGTAATCGCTACAGAAAATTGAACAAATAAATACAAAACAAGTTACAGAAGCGGGAAGGTTCTTGTATTTTGACTGTAACACAAACAAATGTATAATAAAACAATTATTGAATTCGGTTTTTGCAGTATGCAAAATTATCAAGGTCTCGGTAAGCGTTACTGTTTGTCTTTTATTTCATTTTCATCACGAGATATGCAGATCAGAGGCTTATACAAAAACAAGAATACAATTACAGACTGTTCAAAGAATGAAATTGGCACTACGATTTGCAGCAGGCTTGATAAAGATTATAAGAATCAGCATGGCAGCAAATTTATATTAGCCAGTGACAGTGTAGTTATATTTCCATATATATTGGCACAATATGATTCATAGTATACTGGGTAAAGTCTTGGGGAAATAACTCCTAGAACCCTATAGAGTATAGAACCAGGAAAATGATAATTGTGCCGGATGTACGTATTTATTTAACAATTCACAAAATTTAAACTTCCCTATAGGCTATTTAGCTGATCACTTGATAATGACTTTTGTTATAGAAGGTGCTCAAAATTATATAAAAAAATTATATAAAACTCTATAAATAATTGCACACTTAATAAGTGTAGACTGTATGTCTGCCAACTATATCGAACTACACAATTGTAATATGGCCACCAAACTGAAAAATCCATAAAATTAATGTCGGCGATCTTCTGATCTGCCCTACAATGAAACTAATCTGAGTTCAGAAAGGCTGTTTCTGAAATTATATATATACAAGCATATTATTACTATAATGCTGCTTTCAATTTCAAGCGAAGCGTTTTTGTACGTATATATAGCAGCAGTATAACAATTAAATTTTTCCATGGTTAGCTATATCATGGAAAAATTTAATTGTTATACTGATATATATATATATATATATATATATATATATATATATATATATATATATATATATATATATATATATATATATATATATATATATATATATGAATAACCAAATAAATATTTCGTTTATTATGTATGTTTGTCAATATTTGTAACAAACTATTTAAATTTTGGATGGGTTTAAACTTTTCCATGCATAACTGTAGGCGTATGAACATGCCTTCGTGAAAAACGTCCTTGTACATGCACAGCTGAACCACGCAAGCATTAAGGGATTGTATTTTAATCAAACATTAAACCATGCAAGCGACAGCCCTCAGTGTTAAAGCGTAATTTCGGCATGCTATTCTGCATGTATAAATGGATGAATGGAAGCAGGTCTCATGGGAGTAAAAAGTCAATTATTCATAAAGCTGCAATGTCAATATTTAAATAATATATTTCAATATGCAATATTTCAATACTAATTAGGTACATGTTGGCTAACAAAAATTGTCAACGCGTAGAAATCGGGCAGACAGAAATACACAGTTAACGGACTACAGATCTAGCTAGATTGCACATGGTTAAAGGTGATGTAAAGTCCGTAATGTAAACAAACACTTTGTTTACATTTTGAACTCACTGCTACAGTTGTAAAATATGATTAGATATATATTATACTGAATTTTTAACACTTTTCTGGTTCGTTATGCTTGTAAATGAATACAGACTAGAGATTCAATTCAAGAAAGTTCGGAAGGTGAGAAATATTAACAACATTCCAAAGGTTGCTCCCCCACTGATGGAATGTTTTGATGCGCAGAATATATGCGCAGAACGGACTTTACCGCATCTTTAAAGATCTTTACTTGTATCACTTAACGATCACATTATTAACCTCAAAACGTGCGAAAGAGAGCTTTTCATAAAAAGCAGTTTCTTACTGAACAGACTTCACCATGCATATTGCGCAATTTATCGAATGGATAAGCGAACTTAAATTTTCTTCATATATAAACTTATACTGAAAACAAAATGTTTAAACAAGTTTATCGAAAGAAACCATTTGTCGAGAAATTCCCTGCATGTACGCATTCCAATAGCTTGAAATATAAACGAAATACATCTAATATATTGTATATGCAAAGCAATTTATGCTCAACATACCAACGCACAAAAAACCTTTTTACAAATGTAGACAAAAGATTTTTTATTGAATAAGAGGCAGAACTTGTCTTTAAGTGCCGACAGGAGAACAAATATTATATGCTAATAACTTTTAATTTTAGATTATGATAGAAACAGCTTTTAATTCAGATTTAATTCAAATCAGCCTAAAGGCTGCATTTCAGTTGCGCGTTTTTCTGATGTGGACGTATACGCAGGGAAAAGTTCTAATATTACCACATTTTACAATAATTTTCGCGCGTATTTACAAAACTGTTACATGCGATACAATATGTACAGCGGACGACCATGTGGAAATAGCCTGCAAAGGAGGCGCGTACGTCGAAGGGCGAAAATATTTATATTTTATTTATTTATTTATTTTATTCGCCCAAATTACATTAATATATATACAAATAAATCATAAAATAGAAACTATATTTACATATAGGGCTAGGAACCTTCTAGAAACCATAAGGCTTTTAAAGCCTTTTAAAGCCAGGATTTTGCTGCCCGCTGCAAATCAGGCCCCCCATAAAATTGAGGGCCTGCCACACGCAGGCTAACGTCATCTCTGCTAAAGGAGGTCCTCATTGGCCAAGTATTGCGCAATACACGCGCGTGCGAGTAAAAACCCGATATCTTGAAAAAATCAAAATATTCTACTCGCCGTATTCATACGAAACTTTCTACACGAAAGCGCTTGAATACAAAGGGTATTTTAATCAATCCATATAGCCTTTTAGAAAATGACAAAAAGTTTAGAAAATATTCAACTTTTTCTTGATATCAAATACAGAATGTTTGGCCAAGCGGTGAGTATAAATATATGATTGTTTCGGTTTGTGTAATGTTTTGACGTCACTTGACCCTCCGTTTGAATTCTCACTTTGAAAGTTATTTTGCGAGGATTTCATTGGTGGGATTTGTTTTAAAGGGGTAAATATTCGCCGAGATATTTACATTAGAAACATTGTAATGCGAAACAGCCTGTCGCCCCGAGAAAAGCGGAAAAGTCGAATACAAGCGCGAAAGGCTGGTTGGAATCGCTAACAAATCAATGAATTTTTAGCGATTCCCAGCAGCTTTTCGCGCTCGTATTCGACTTTTCCGCTTTGCTCGGGACAACCTTAATTGAAATAGCTGTATATACGCGTACGTACGAAAAACTGGTGACTGGAAAGCAGTCCTAAGGCTGTTTTCAAGAATAGCATTTTTTATACGTACACGCACGGAAAAGTTTTTAAAAATCTTTCTAAGGGACTGTTCATTTTTTTATCAGGAGGAGGGGGCTGGTGGTTTTGGGCGCTTTCATTAATAATTTCGTCTCGACCCCCCAACAGATGCAGGAAAATTTCCTGTGACCCCCTTTCTACTCCAGGCTTTTTCCCATGACCTGGGTATGGTCTTGGCATAGTTGGTCATGGTAGGCCCTATCCAAGCATCACAAGATAAGCAATAGTAAAGCAATATACTTCATTTTATGATAGGACAAAACTTCATCTTCATTGTCTTTTTGGCTGTTTAATAAAGTTACCGGAAGTGGCAATTTTATAAAACTGATTTGCATTGCCCGTAATACTCAATGTCACGTCCAGTAAATTTTAATAAACAGCCATGAAGATGAAGCCTTTTTCTAAGAAAATAAATTGCGTTTTAGAATGCACTGAATATCACAAATATGTAAAGTTCCTAATTTGTTCATGTGTACTTTAAAGTTTAAATTGACTACTACTGATACATGTACTAAAACTTTACTTTGAGTTTTTATAAATGAAAGAGTATGAAAGTTGATTGCTTTGATTTTTATGTATTATGTATTCATTGATGTTTTGGTGGCCCCCTCAAAATTTAATTTTCCTGAGATGACTCCCCTCTCACATAGCTACTTTTTGGTGACCCCCCCCCCCTGCAAAAACCACCAGCCCCTCCTCCTGATAAGAAATGAACGGTCCTTAATAGTTTAAATCATACACAAAACAAAATGCTGTACTTATATTCATTTAATTATTTCATTTTTGTTTATAGTATTTTTGTATAAGTATAGGTAATATAGCATGGTTTCGAGAGCAATTTGGATATATTAACATGTACGAGTGAGTTTTTCAAAGACCTCAAAATAGCCGACGAGTCCGAAGAACAAGTGCTATTTGAGGTCTCTGAGAAACTCACGAGTGCATGTTTATCCAAATTTCACGAGAAACCATGCTATTACTTATTAATAATTTACATAAAAAATGTTCGAGACAATTGTAGTAGTACGTTTAATATAGCGAAAATTCCACTGCAAAGTTTTCCTGGCTTTGTTATATCACATTATACAACGCTAACAGCTTGAAAATTCCACTTTACTATGTGTGGCTTTTCCATTTAAAGAAAAGATAAAAGCCATATTTTTCAACCGAAGTCAACTTTCACTTCATGTAGCGCGGCGCCATGTTTGTTTTGTTTTGAAGCAATCTGTGACCGGTCACCGTTACCACAGAGGAGAGACATACAGAGTTGTAACTAGTGTACCCACAGACGACCCAATCTCTGAGTGGTCTATATATTTTGAATATTTATACGGCATATTTAACCGTTATACTAGAAGTTACTATCGCAAGGAAAATGCTGCCTCAACCCGCCTTCCATCACACAAGCATGTAAAGCACCCCTGAACACCTGTTCAGGAGGTAGGAAAAATGCAATTTGAATACGAAAACACCTTGTTGCACAAAGTCAAAGGTCAGCTAAACTTCAAATTCTATTGACTTCCACAAATTCCTTACTCTTCAAGAAATTACTTCCTTGAAAATTCATTCATTCTAAACAAAGACGAAGGACTTTGTGAAAGTCTACAAGTCATGCTATGCAAGTTTTTAATGACTTGCATTATTCAAATTGATGCAGTTTTATTAGCATAGCATGACCAGTTGTCATGGATAGCTTGCCACTGAATACTGTGGAACTGTACAATACTGTGTATAACAAACAATAAGGGACCGGTCATAAAGTAATTACTAGAGGGGGGTGGAGGATAAATGAAATTTCAAGTACATATTTCCATACCCTCCCAAAAACCTATGGAGAAATTTTCGTACCCTCTTCAGTGCAAGTGAAAATGTTCATACCCCCCCCCCCACCCTTCTATCATTAATTCTGTTTTAACATTGGTCTTGCGTTTATCTATATTTCGAAACTCTCCAGTTTGTGATAAGTCTTTCAGTCACTTCTTGTAGTGGTAAACCATATCCTCAACATTTTCCGCAGTCTCCGATTCATCACCACAGGCTTTTCTGTTTCTGATTCTGACATAGTAGCAATGGGCTGAGGGTAAGAACAAATATAAAAATTTGTTTTTGGTTTATTTCAAACAGAAAAAATGTGCTTCCATTCAATGTGACTCTTTCTCATCAGGTTCTAATGGTGTGAGCTTGCTAGCATTGACAATTCAGATGTGTCAGATTTATACTCCAAAAGTTCCACCGATACTGAATCCTCCTTATCATCTGACATTGAGTCAGACTGGTACTTTGTGTTGATTTAATAATAATTATAGCAAAAAGAACTATAATAACGATGAATGTAGAGAGACTCTTTGAAATTGCTGTAGCTATAGTACTATGATTATTTACCCTAATCACTATAAATGTTTAAGTTATTAACTGTTCCCAGAGTACATTATAGGATACATTAAAAGCTTTAGAAAAACAAATTAAAGCATGGCTTCTGTAATACTGACACTCATTATCATATTTAAAAATCTGGGCACAAATGCATTCAATATTCAACACTAATTATAAAATGTAATTTTTCCCGTACCTATATAGTACTAAGATTTTGGTACACCCCCCCCCCCCTAGAGGTTCTGCTGTTTTTCTCGTACCCCCTCAGAGGTTCTGGATTTTTTTCGTACCCCCAAAAATATCCTTCACACCCCCTAGTAAATACTTTATGACCGGTCCCTAATAATACTTGAACGAATCATTGGATATCTAGAATTTAATAACAATTTCATATTTTCATACATAGAAATACTACCAGTAAGGACCTGTTCAAGTTATCCCGGTTAGTGAGAAAACCTTTCGACAAGTTTACAAGCGAGATCTCGCCTTGGTATGAAAACAATATGAAAAGTTACACTGCGTTCATATGACACAACAAGTTCTCCCATGTACCGACATCTCGCTTGTTTACAGGCGAGCTCTCGGTGACTGGGATAATGTTTTTCCCATATGAACACAACTTTCCCACTTAGCGGGATTACTTTCTCTCCTGTCAGCAACTATTCAATTCATGTTCAGTGCCACGTCACAGCCAGAAACTTTACCTGGTAAGTGGGATAAAGTTTCTCCATGTGAACAGAAGAAAAGTATTTGGCTAGTCGAAAACGTTTCTCGTTAACTGGGATAACTTTTGCCCATATGAACAGGCCCTAAGTCAGTTTTTGTCCTAATTATTGTTTTAATGGCACCTTCACGGCCACCCCTACTGCAGAAAAACTGAACAATTTGCCGATGGGGAGAAAAAATCTATTTTGTTGACTTTTTCTTCAATATGTTAACTTCAGATGACACCATCCATTTGTAATGACTAAGACTGCACTCAGTCAGAACTGCAAAACTGTATAATAAGAAAGAAATTGTGAGCATTATCGTATACAATTGTGTGTTCCAATGCGGGCATTATACTGCTCAATTGACCTTATGCATAATGACTACACAAAGCTTGATGCCCACAAGGAATGCTGGTCTTTCAAAATGGCCACTATCAAAATTTTCCCAGGTGATGTCGTAAGACCAGCATTTCTCGCAGGCATCAAGCCTCCGTGATGCTTCATAATGCATATTAACGTCATTATGCATAAATAAGGTATATTGATATACAGTAAAGCCCCGCATAAAAGAACCAGTACTTAGGTTAAGAACCAGTAGCCTGAAATTTTGGCAATTAAATATTAAGCACCCAAAATCAAAATTACTGTAATATATAACTATTTTTATTGGCAATTTTCTAATTGACACACAACCTATATATATTTGTAAAATATGATATACATTACCTTGTTGGCTTGATCTTTTGACAGAAATATGTATGCGAGATTGCGAGATCACACTTCGCTAGCGAGTTCACACATCGCTAGCAAGTTTGGTACAGGTACAATTCACTGCTTTTTAAAAACATAATATGAACGGCCCCTTTTGACTTGATTTGACCAAAAGATCCCCACGAATACACATCAAAATATAGTGCCAGGAACAATTCACTGTCTATCATCTGTGACTGTATCAAAGATTAGATACTATAAAGATGTGCCACTCTGCGAAAATTATGTCCGAGATTTTTTTATAGCCGCCATTTTGCCAGTAAGTGTCAAATCCAACGCCATCAGTCTCTAAATAGTAAAATCCAACGCCATCAGTGTCGCCGCCATTTTGGCAGTAAGTGAAAATTACGGACACGCAAACATTAGGGAAATACGTCGAGTGGCACATCTTTATAGTATCTAATCTTTGACTGTATTCACTATTCAGGAAAGAAGCCTGCGAACAGGCGTTTAGAAAGAAAGCGGAAGTTAAGCCTGCAATTCGAAGCTACGTCACAAAACGTCATCAATCCATTGTTCTAAATACTGAATCCGAAAATCTCGAATTCTCCTCCACATAACTCGCGGAAAGGCTGGGACCGACAAAATTAGTATGCTGCCTCTACGAGGCAGCAAATATTTAATAACGAAATAATTCAAAAAATATTAGCAGTATAGACAGTATATGTAAAAAATAGATCTAACTTGTTAATAGAATGCATTTGTTGTGTTTCTGAGTTTAGTTGATGCATTGCTTTACGTTTTCGTCGTATACTTGAACGGTCACCACAAGCGGCCCAGACTTTATATAGTATAAATGTATATTATAGTAATGTATATTATAGTAAAAATATGTCATAAAATATAAATTTTAAAATGAAATTGACTTGCCTATTTGATAGTGTGTGTGTTCTCCTTTTATTCCTCCTTTGTTGGACTAATATTAGTTCCGAGACTTTGTACTCGATATTACTAGTATACATGATACATGAAAAAGGCAAACTATTTCCGATCGTCGATACGACGGCACGGCACTTCGAATCGAAAATTCTCACACTCAAATCGCTTTATTCTCCAAAAAAATCGCCAGCATGTACAACAGATGCCGTTCTTCGAAAATACTCAGCGGATACTTCGGCGAGATCAGGGCGCTATAAAACACGGGCGGGGAAACGCGCTAATAAATGACCGTGCTACGTGTGATGCACATTAGGATTTGCGCGTGCGCGCTTTCTCTAAAAAAATCAGAAAATCGCGTACAAGATGGCAACAAAAAATGTAAACAAGCAAAGGCGAGAAAACAAAGGATTTAAATGCTAAGTAATTATGTTTCGTTAATTAAAATTTGAAATATTATTTAATAAGTTATATCACATGTAATAGCTTGTGTTGTTTGTTACTGAACACCCGTTGAAAGAAAATATCAGGGCAAAAATTTTACTCGAGCGATGAAAATATTTGCAAAATTTAAAGCGCGGACGAGTTTAAAATAGTGTTTTCTCCTCGTTGAGATAGGTTGAGATAAATTTGAACACACCAAACTATAGACATTTAACTTGGCTTTATGTCTCAAGTAAAATTGAACGGTGCTTTTTTGTGAGAGAGATATCTTGCAACCTTTATAGTTTTCCGTATACTCCACACGACAATTCCACGACTACTGATAAGTCATAAGACGATATTTGAGTGGAACCTACCGTTTTGTACCCTATCTCCGTTGTTGATGTCGAATCGCTCCTAAAACTCCTGGTCCAGACTCTCTGCCAAATTGGATTCTCAATAACTTTTCAATGGAGATTTCAGAACCTGTGACAATGATTTTTGATGCCTCCATTAAACAAGCACACGTTCCAATGCAGTGGAAAGAAGCAAATGTCGTTCCCGTCCCTAAGACATCCTCGGTCACGGATATATCTTCAGACCTGCGACCTATATCTCTGACCGCCACGCTCTCAAAGGTTCTTGAATCATTTCCATTTCAATGGATTATGGATACCATTAAGTCTCAGTTGGACCCAAAGCAATTCGGATCGTTAAAAGGCTCTTCTACGATGGACGCATTAATTAGCATGTTCCACTCAGGGGCGCCGGAAACAATGTGAAGCGGCGGGGGCAGCCATTTCAAAAGGGCACTTGCTTCTAAGCAATCATTTTTCTGGGCGGCAATATTTGTTAAAACTTTATTGTATGGATACTCGATTACTTGTGGCTATTGTGGGACGGCAAACTTCGACATTAATTTTGAACAATTTTATTGGTTGCACCATGTTAAGGGCGCTGATAAAATCAGTAAACAGACGTATATTACCTGGCTTAGCATTAATCAGGGGCCGCGGAACCGGGGGACAGTGGGGGCATGTGCCTCTCCACATTTTAAAGTGAAAAAATGCCTTTTGGGGGGGCTAGAAGGGAAGTGCCCTTTTTGTAGTAGTAAAGACTGTGTAAAGGCCATTTCCGACTTTATAGGAACTCCATATTTTCAAAAATCGTTTGATTTTGATCACAATTATACAAAAGTAATTCCGCGGCCTCTGGCATTAATTTTACTACAACTGGTTAAAATTAAGCAAAGATTGCTTAAAATAGTTATAAATTCCAATTCATGTTAATAACGCACAAATTTCGAAGCGCAGTTCTGGTGAAAAAGGGCAACCTGTTGCCCCCGTGCCGCCCCCGCACTGTTTCGGCAACGGGGGCAGTTGCCCCCGCTGCCCCCGTGGCTCCGGCGCCCCTGGTTCCACTGTTGGTATTCTAACACAGACGGCAATGGCGAGACTGTTCGTGTTTTTCTGCTTGACTTTAGTAAAGCATTCGACAGAATCAACCACAAAATCCTGATAAAAAAGATGCAATTACTAAATATTGATAAATCCTTAATAAACTGGGTTATTGATTTCCTGATGCAAAGAAGACAGAGGGTGAAATTGGGTTCTTCGTTCTCTGATTGGTCCTTGGTAAATGGAGGCGTCCCGCAAGGTACAATCGTTGGCCCATTACTTTTCCTCATCATGGTCAACGATTTGGCTATTAACCACAGAGATAGATGGAAATATGTTGACGACACTAGTCTCTCCGAAACAATCGGTAAAGGTTGTCAAAGTAACCTGCAATCCGTTATTAATAATATCGATCAATGGTGCACGGAAAATGATATGATGCTTAATCGTTCTAAATGCAAAGAGCTAATTATCTCGTTCGCTAAGGACGTCCCTAATCTTCGACCATTGTTTATTAAAGATCACTGTATGTCCCCAGTTTTATCAGCAAAGGTTCTTGGTCTGTACTTTTCTTCTGATCTTAGTTGGAACTTACATGTTGAACACATAGTATACAAGGCATCAAAGAGACTTTTTTTTCTCCGAGTGCTTAAACGCAGCAGTCTTGGAGGGAGTTCTCTAATTCAAGTCTATACCACATGTATACGACCTGTGCTTGAATATGCATGCCAGGTTTGGAACTTAAACTCCCCTGACTATTTAAAGGAAGAAATCGAAGGAATTCAGAAGCGAGCCCTACGAATAATATGTCCTGACCTGTCATACCGCAAAGCCTTGGAAGTTCATGAAATATCGTTGCTCTCTCAAAGACGAAATAATTTATGTAAATCCTATTTTAAGAAACTTCTCAACCCGGAAAATAAATTGAATGAACTTATCCCTAATAAACGCGAGGACTTACGTATTTACAATCTACGTAACGATCAGCATATTAACTTAATTAATTGTAAGACTACAAGATTTAGTAAAAGTTTTATTCCTTCTAGTATCGTATCATATAATGATTCATTTTAATTGTAATATAAATTTTAGTTTAACATACCGTATAATATTATTACTATATGTAGTAGTTTTACCATGTATTTTAAATGTCAACTCTGTACAATTCAGCTCTTAGCTGCCATTCAGATTTTGTAATAATAAATTCAATTCAATTCAATTCAACACAAATTTTCAATTATTAATTAAACGAAATCACTTCCTGCCTCAAATACATACTATAAATGTTTATTGAAGTATCTAGTATCAGCTTATATTGCTAAAATTGGTATCTATATTTCACTTGCAAAATGAACAAAGCGATTGTTGAGGAAAAGACATGCATTTTGAACTCGATTTTGACGTTTGTCGTGCATTTTGCATCCCCTCTCCCTCGACAAAAATAATTTCGATAAAACCCACTTAAAGCTTTTTTCAACTCTAAAAAGTTTGAATAAAGTTAGAAAAAATATCCAAGGTGTTTTGTATCTAGTTTTTTTCAGAAAGTAGCGGTTTTTGTTGTTGTTTGAAGCGAACGTATTAGTGTGTGTAAATGTATTTTGTAAAAGAGTTGCCCGCCGTGGGATAATATACAATATTAAAATACAATGACGTAAACATCGGAAGTTGCATGTATAATGAGCTACACAAATAAATCGCTTGATAGCAAATTGAGACGAACCTTATACGTATTTTTAAGCGTATAATGCATTTTTACACATTTTGCTGGGCTGCCTATGCCCAGACCGAAAATTACTACGGCGAACGCCTGCGCAACCAGGCCGCCTAAAACCGTTAGGATTTACGGGGGTAACAGATTTTTGCACTGCGATTAGAAAAAATTGCACTGTGATTACAAAAAATTGCACTGTGATTAGAGAAAATTGCACTGTGATTACAGAACATTGCACTGTTGTTTGGGATTAATTGCACTGAGTAATATCTTTATGTATATTAGTCGAGTAATATCTTAATGTATATTATTAATAGCGTAAAAATTCACAACTTGTAAGTTTTGTGTTTTTAAGCTCTATTAAATAATTTAAATTCGTCCAAAATGAATGATCTTAGTTTTTCTGCTAATTACTATATTTTTGCGCACCTTATGGTGTGTATTTACAAGGTATATGAGAGCAAGGAAAAGATGTTCAATTTTACACAACTTTTAAGGTGTGCAATAAAGAATGTGTGTATTTTAACAAGCCAGCAAATTACGCACCTTGAGGTGTGTAAAATTACGCATCTCTTTCAAAACACCCCTTAAGGCGTGTACAATTACTACCTCTCCTTAATTGTAAAAAGTGTGTAAAAATACACGCCTTTTTGGTCTAAATACACACCTTAAAGTGTGTAAACCAACACGCCAACAGTTGCGTGCATTTAAACATTTATTAAGAACATATTGTTGCATTTTTCCCTGTGTTTCTATACAGTCATAGGAGCACTTGAAGTGCTCCTATGACTGCCGTATAGAAACACAGAGAAAAACTTGTAGTAGAAGTTTGGCAGAACTCGAATAACATGGAAACTGAGGAGGACTAGAGATAGCTTTCCAAGACAGTCCTCAAAAACACACAGACATAGTACTTTTATTCCAAGGGTGTTTACAATGTACAATGTACAATGTGCAATGTACAATATCAAATAAATGAATGATATTACTGTATATTGTAGTTATTTATATCGTTTTTCAACTTTAAATTTTTTACACCTTTCATTATAGGCTTACATATATATGTATTTATATATTTTACATTTAAATCCATTGTATTTCTCTGCCAAAAATGGATATTGATTAATTAAAATTTAAAATAAAAAAATTCAAAGATGCGTTCTTATTATGTTTTTCATGAGTTTTTAATCTACACTATAAATTTCAAGGAGATGAATCAATCCCAAAAGGATTATATGTCACCAAATTTAAAATGTCACAGAATAACATTTTTGGAATTCATCCAACTCCTTGAAATTCACAGCCAACAGACCTTATGGGCTTTTGTATCTCAGTATATGCTCTACGTTAAAGTTGACATAGAGATTTCATGTTTCATTAAGTTTGGTGAACAAACATTGTGTTATATAGTAAATTTGTATACAAATAAGATGGCTGTAATACAAAATAAACTCTACAGATTCAGAAAAAAATATTCATTGTTATCAACAGACTAGAATTCTGTTGATTTTATCAACAAAATCAGCTATTATCCATTAATATATCTAATATTAAAATTTTAAAAAGTTACTACGTGAAATATATAAAAATGTTTATACCGAAATGGTGGCTAAATTTTTGTAAAGTTTTTCGCTTCTTTTAACTTTCTTTAAAGACTGATATGGAAACTCGGGAATTTGACGATTCTTCTTGATAGTCAAAAGTTGACCACCATGAATGTTTGCAATGTTTCCTTTCTGAGAAATTTTTATATACCCATTATCACCCCATAGTGGACCCCATGTGTTCTTTAATATCCAATATGGTTCTTTATTATCCTCGATGCCATAGCCAATACACACCATTGCATGATTTGTTCGTTTCTCTAGATGAAAGAAGCATAACAAAAATAAATACCAAGCAGAAATAAAATATGTTTAGAATGTACCTTCTCTTATATACATGGACATTTAATTTTGTCTAAACTGCTAAACGAACCAATAACATAGCTACAACATACAACTAAAATCAATAAAAAATTAAAATAATTAATCCATATCACTGCTCAATCTATGTGGATTATCGTAGAAGAAGTATATCAAAGTAAAAGGAGTAAATGTAGAAGGGAAATGTCAAGGATAGGGACCGGTCATTATTAATAGAAGGGGAGGGGCGGTGGGTGAGAAAATGGGGAAAGCCTTTAACTATTTTTGCCCGTGAATCGGAGCGGGCCTCAAACTGAAAAAAATGTGACAAGGGGCGACCCCAATTTTTTAATACTTCCCTACCCTTTTTCAATCTCTCGCCCTTATCGTATTCCACAAAAAGTTCACCTTTTTTAGTTCGATCTATAATCGTAGCAAATAACAACCATTTTGAATATTGGTCCTCTAATTATTTATAATTATGCTACACAATGTCTTACACCAGTACTTGTCCCAATACCTATATTCATATACCTTAAATGATGAATGAAATGAAAGAAGATCGCCCATAAATAAAATAAATGAAAGAAGATCGCCCATAAATAAAATAATGAAGATAACAGTCATAAAGAAAGTTCGAATGGCGGAAATCTTCCCCCATAAAATTATAATTTACTAAAAAGGTTGTCTGCTTCAGCGACATTAACGTGAAATGTAATAAAGATATGCGTAAAAATGCATGGAAATCATTAAGTTATTTTTTATTTCCTTAGGGACCGGCCATAAAGTAAAGGAGGGGGGGGGGGGGCACTGCTCTAAAATTTGTAACCCGCCCTTAAATTGGTGCTGACAAATTATGACCCACCCTTTCAGAAAGGCGAAAGATACCAGCGTTCCATTTTTCTGTTGCCAAATAATTTTGTGTTACAATACACAATAGCTATTCAAATGGTGCAATTAAATACAGAAAGGTCTTTCTTTGCTTCTTCTTCTTCTACAGAAAGGTCTCATAATTAGAGAACTTGAGTTTGACATTTACGGGTAACGCCAAACCGCTAACAATAATTGTGATTTAACTACGTTCTCGTAGAAATTACACTAATTTTGTTACATAATAAACATCGGCCTGCACAAAGCTGGTGACATTTAACTAAACAATCTGAGAAAATTGGTTAGCCACTACTAACGTATTATCCACAGTGACGGACACAAAAAATTAAAATTTGAATCCCGGAAATGGCATTTGCAGCATTCTGAGAACACATTTTGTAAAAAAACTAGGTTTTCAAAACACTGTTTTAATGGTGCGTTTTTGTATAAATCACATGCTAAGTATAGAAAACCAACATTTCAGAGAAAATATTTACACGATTATTTACATTTGTGAATGGAATTGCAAGGTGCTTTAATTTAATTAACACACCAATGACAATGTAAAATTTATTCGCTAAATGATGATGTTAATTGAATTATCCATTGTTTTTTTAGCATAATGGTTTAATACGCATTCAAATATTATTGTGCAGTAAATTCAGCTTTTAAGTTTGAAGTTAACGTTTGCGGTATACATTTTACACATGGATCCAGATACTTATTTCCTATTATTTATAATATGAATTTTAATACACATGCCCTTGAAAAAATTTCTGCATATATTTACCTTATGATTGCAATTAACTTTCGATGACCCACCCCTTCAACCATGCTCAAAAATAGTGACCCACCTATTGTCCCCCCCCCCTTTACTTTATGACTGGCCCCTTATCGCACAGTGTTAACCTTGACAATGACGGTCTTTCTTAACATAATTTTGTGAATATTTTCTAAACTAATGATGCGATGGCTCAATGGTGACATTATATCGGTTATTTATATCTGTACAGTTGACATACAAATTTGCGAACATTGTCATTGGACATGCAGTGTTGTCGGTTATTGTTGAACAATTACGATCATGTTCTCATTTATTGAAACCTGTCTATAGTAGAAGAATTGTATTATCAGGCTTTAAGATATGAGTGACTATTTATAATTACATAGAGAAATAAATTATTAATATTGAATAATATGGTTATGTATATTGTCCTAATACAGGTTTAATCTCCTTACTTATATAATCTGGATCGCTATACACTCCTTTACTGTAAAATCTCAACGTTTTGGCATCAGCATTAATGCTGCAGGATATTGGTCCATATTTAGCTAGAGCAACTTTCATTGTCTTCACTGTATTCGGTTTGATGCGATAAAAATCTTTGGTATCATCAATAATTGTGCAGTTATCTTTTCTACCACAATGACAATATGCTTCCTGAGATAAAGAATATACAATAAAACATTATTTGTTAGAAATAATACAGTATACAACACACTGTTGATCGATAATACAAAATAATCAGATTACTAGGGACCAAGGGTGGGTAGTAGCGAAGTAGTTGTAGTTCGCTACTGTAGCGAACTACAATTTTCAAGTAGCCAGTAGTTTTTTACTACTTTTTTAAAACAGTAGCTGTAGTTATAGCGAACTACATTTTGCCTAAAAGTAGCCATAGGCGTACGGGGCCGCTAAATTATGGGGGGCGGTACCTTTTTTGCCCAAAAAATTCCACATTGCCCAAAAAATTGGGGACCTCCCCCCCCCCCGCCGTCGCCAAAAAAATTTCGGTCAGTGTACCATTTTAGGGGTCAAAAAAATTTTCCGGACAACCAATATTTTTCGGAACATAACACCAATTTTCCAAAAATCACAAAATTTGCCAAAAAATTTACTTAATTTTAGACAAAATTGACAGAATTTGTCCCATTTTTTTTAATTGCAAACCAAAATTGCCCGACTGTTGATCGAATATTGCCCGACTGCCCAAAAAACTGGGAAATTGCCCGACTGCCCAAAAAACTGGGGGGCTACCGCCCCCCCCCCCGCCCCGTACGCCTATGAAAGTAGCCAAGTAGTTGACTACTTTTCAAACAGCGAATCGCTATTCGCTACTTTTTAAAATTGTTAGCACCTTGATAGAATAGCATGATATTGAGACATGGTTTGCTTATAAGACAATACTCAATAGTCAATTTGCACTCTTGAACACTGTAGTGCTTACAAGCATGTTGCTTTGTGTTTACTATTGCTACTAGTAAGTCGATTTGTTATAGGTTACATTTCAGCCTGAGTTAGTAGATGCTCCAAAAACAGTAAAACTAAAAAAATAGCGCAGAGAAATAGCGAAATAGTTCGCTACATTTTTTAAGCAGTAGCTGTAGTCAGTAGCGAACTACCTTTGTTCAAAAGTAGCAGTAGTTGTAGCTGACTACATATTTTTGAAGTAGCTGTAGTTATAGCGAACTACAAAAATTTTGTAGTCAACTCATCCTTGCTAGGGAGGGACATTTATGACATATTTAGCGTTATTAAAATTATATCGACTGAATATAGTTGAAAGAATCTATAAAATGCTTCATGAACCACATAAAAAAGATTTAAGAGTCTTCGGATTTGACAAATCCAGTTTCTCTGGCGAAACACACAAAACATTACTGTCGTTCCAATTGAAGTGTTCCTTAAATATTGATTCAATACATTACCTCGGGCTGACCAATTCATTTCATCAAGTTCCTCGAGATATTCATACACTTCCCAGTATAATTGTAAACTTCCTGTCGAATAGTTTGAATGCACCAATCACCTTTGTTGTTTGTGCAACTATAACCAATCATAAATAGAAAGGAAGTGACCAGAAATGATCAAATACTTGGAATTGGCTCTTTCACAGGAAGTGTATGAATATCTCGAGGAACTTGATGAAATGAATTGGTCAGCCCGAGCTAATGTATTGAATCAATATTTGAGGAACACTTCAATTGGAACGACAGTAAAAATGGATGTGCACGTGTTGCTTACTTCTCCTAAATAAGGTCCATAGCTTTTCCTTGTAGCCACGCCATTACGTATAATCCATGCTAAAGCTTTGGCAGGAAATCCACCTCGACAGCCGTGATTACCACTTCCCCATGAACAGTCTATGATTTGCTGTTTCGATATTTCTATCATTTTACCTGTCTATGAAAAATGCATTGAAGATAATTATTATTGCCCTTTCCTTCCTATCTATTAACAAGAGTTTTTCTATCAAAACAACTAAACCTGGGCATCAGCATAAAGCCGCCGGTGACTATTGCCTCAAGCTATTGGTATTGCCTTTAGTTATATTAGATACTATATTGCCTTATAAACGATTAATTTTTAAACGATTTTTTCATATACCTGAAAGAAATGATGTGCTTCGATTGGTGCAGCTATTGAAAAGGTCCAACATGAACCACAAAGTCCCTGACTACTGATTGGTGAAACAGCGCCTAATACATGAAGGCAGACAAAAATTAATTGAAGTTACTAATTTAATAGAAACTACGAGGGGCTAATTTCAGTAATTTCCTGTTCATTAGCTTCATTAGAGACGTTGCACACTGCTTTATTTACTCATTGTAATTCCAACTGAAAATATCTTAATTACTGTTTTATTTACAAATTGCATGGCAGTTATAGGATCATAGACGAAATGATTGATTTTTAACAAATTAATTGATAGGATCACTGTCTCATGAATTTTAAACCCAGTTTTATAACCGAGCTCAGTGTTATAAGACCCTCATAATACTGACCATAATCCCTCCAATCCAACCGTTCTGGCAATTTACCAAATTGTCGACCGTGTAGCAAATTAAGAATATTTTTCTTCTCTTTTCTCCTCTCTTTTTTCTTCTTTCTTCCAATGTCTCCCTCACTCTCCTCGTCATTTTCATCTTCTGATAACATTCCACGATGCGATTCCATCTCTTCCTCTGTCAGGTCACTCAAGTGATTCACAGAGAGAGAGTAACCAGTGTTACGACGGTTTCGGGAATTTATGAACCTACACCAGTAAATTATAAAATTGCTAGTTTTTGCTATATGCACGGGTGGGGGATTGACTCGGGCTCGAGTCGCTATTTTCCAGCTTAATGCTGTGTGAATATATTAAAATGATTAACGTGAATATGATTGGTTAGTCATTTCACAGATTGTAAGCATGGCTATCGATCACAGATATCTTATATACACTAGATAGCGCATCCCCTTTAGTAAAATTGAAGCCAAGAATATTCCACCGGTTACCCCAGTTTGAATAGATGGCGGCCATTTTGGAGTTTCCAACTCGCTAATAAACGCGTAAAAAACAACAATAACTTTCATCATTTGAATAGTTTAAAAATGTATTTGGAATCGGTTTAACTTAATGTTTAAATTCCCTGTTTAGGGATAGTGCATGCATCTAATTATTCTGCAATTCAAAAATTGAAGCCGTGATTGCAGGCTCAGGGTATTCCCATGAAATGTCATGGGAATACCCTGAGCCTGCAATCACGGCTTCAATTTTTGAATTGCAGAATAATTAGGTGCACTATCCAGTGTATATAAGACATCTATGGTATCGACCATCACAGAAATTGTGGGATGGACTGACTTGATCAAATTCCCTGACTCGACCGTCAATTTCAGCTATTGACTCAACTCAACTCGATCAGACATCTCCAACCAATTCGACTTGATCATGACTTGTTACAACATTGATTCAGAGATAATTAAAATAGTATGTTGACTGCTCACGATTTGAGATCTGTGAAAAACTCACGGTGCTATAGCAACCTCTTGTTATTTAAATTATACAGTCGAGATATAATCGGTACTGAAATATATTCTCAACCTACGACCTTCAGTGACAGACCGAATTATATATTTTAGTACATTTATATTGTAGTACAGAAATTGAGATGCACACATGCTCAGTTGTTACAGTTTTTACACTGCTGTTTGGGATTAACAGCGCTGTAAATCAAACAATGGCAGTTAATTAAGAATATTTTCTTGAATATTATTAAGAAGTAAAACAGGAACTATTTAAATTTTTGGAACGCGAAAAATGTTTTGGGTCAATCCAACATTTACGTACATGTTCGAATCGCGTTTGGGCTAACGTTTATAATGACATGATCATTTTCAAAATACCTGAGGTTATGTTTAAAAATATGCTTCCTTCTTTCATTGTCATGATGGTGTTTATAATCCTTCAAATGAAGTTTCTTAAATCTTTTGAAATGTTTTTCTGTCTCTTCATCGTTAGAGTGATGGAAATGAACAAATTCTGCCATTGGGTTTATGAAATATCGTGATTTAATTCTTCTTGCTTTCTTTCCACACCAGGTATCTGTGTAGAAAATAATTTACACTACATGAGTACAGTAAAACCAACACTGATGGCGTCGATGAAAGCGTTGAACTAAAATATATGAAAGCTCTTGTATATGTTATGAACGGGGATGACAATAATAGCTATATTGCTTTCGCAAGAGTATAAATATCTTTATCTTGATGGGCGATGACATTATCCTAGAGTATGTGAGGACTTTATATTGGATCATCTCTGATAAAGAAACTAGACTGGATTGTCGAAACGTTGGGTCGTGAATGCAATGATTAAGTTCGAAGATTAATGTTGTTTAGGTAAACCAGAGTTGACAGTGTGATAAAATATGTAAGATATTTACGTGGTTGTGTTTGTTGGTTGCGGTTAAAAACTTTATAAAGTGTAATGAGTATGCATACCTGCTGGAATCTTGAAAACTGAGAAGTTAAATGTCCATGGCGAAAACGTGAAATAATCCAAAATATAATGATCATAATGAGATGTAAGCAGGTCATCATATCCTAGCATTTCATATTTCACTGGAATATGTGGCTCTTTATCACTGATGTATAATGCATATGTATTTGTTTTATTATATTCCACCGTCTTTCGGACATATTTCCGACATGGCTGTCCTTTGTAATACTCTACTCCTTGGAGCTGCAAAAAGAGAAAAACAAAAAAAAGTGGGTTATATTTGTAAGATTGTTGTTGTTGTTTTTCACCGTTTTTCTAAAACTACCACTTCTCATTCTAAAAACTTTTCTTTAAATTTTAATCACGATTCAATTTAAAAGGTTAAAATTACAACGTTTCGAGCAACTTAGTTTCTCTTCTTCAGGATTTGTGACCACTCCTGTTTATTTATAGCTTTGTAACCACTCATCATATCAGACAATGATAAACTCAATGAGGAATTGAAAAATATTTAAGATGTTTTTGTGGCAAATGGGTACTCTAGAAAGACTGTCAGAAAGTACATGGAGGAGAGAAGACAGACGGACTATCGAAGGCAGACGGGAAAAGGTAATCGTGGAACAATTACTGTTCCTTACTTACGTTGGTACCCTGGACCGCCATATTGCACAAATCTCTAAAGAAGAGCAAAGAAGTTGCTCGAAACGTTGTAATTTTAACATTTTATCGTTTTTAACCTTTTAAATAGAATCCTGATTTTGCAAAGTATAACTGACAAATACTACTCCACTCTCGTATATCAAAATACGATCACTGTGTTGTAATTTGTAATTCATTCTCTTAACCATGTTATAAACAAAGAAATGCCTATAGAGTATACATCTCTTCTTTGAGTGTATAGTCAGTCAACTAACACTCCATGGCCACTTGCTACATTGAATGTACTTACCTCAACAGGATTCAATATTTTTCATAATTATAATGCTAAGGTTAAATAAGTGTTTATGAGTAGGTTATAGTCTTGGTGTTAAATACGTCTTAACTACCAACCTCGTTCCCAGGGTCTTAACTACATGCATGGTGGCTGTACTTTTCGTCTTTTATTTTGTTGCACGTAATGCATGTAGTATTACTTAGGTCAATATTATTTTGTTCATGTACAGTTAGGGTTAGTATCAGTTGGTCACCAAGCACTGTCATTTGGCAACAGATAGAAAACTAATTGTACGTAATTGTTCCATACAGCTAGTTAGGTAAGTTCATCTATCTATAACATTGAGTTGTTATGAGAATATGAGTTGATAACTACGAATTGTTAATTATTCATGCTTCCTTTTTGTTCCCTCAGGTCGTTCCGCTATTGGGCGTTTGGGTGCCTGTGTGATTTATTGGTAATTTTTGGTTTATTTGTTTGTTTGTTTCTCTGGTCGTTTTTTGTTTGTATATTTCTATAAATTTCGTCCGTTTTTCTGTTCTTTGTTTTATTGTATGTATGTTTGTTTGTTTGCATATTTGTATTTTATTTTTCGTTTTTTTGTTTGTTTGTTTTCTCCATTTGTTTGTTCCAGGTTTTTTTTACAATAATTGTTCCTTTGGGTTTTTGTATATTTATTTATTTGTGTATTGTTTGTTTGTTTGTTTGTTTGTTTGTTTGTTTGCTTGTTTGCATAATTGCATCAATTGCATATGCTTGTACTATTAGTTCTTTTCTTGTAAGCTAATTGTTTTGTTCGCTTGTTTATTATTGTTGGTCTGTTTTGTCTGTCTTAAAATTGTTTCACTAGATTGATTTGTCCTGCTATATGCTGTGTGCTGTTAAAACTTGTTATTCTTTTGCCTCACTTCATGTGTTTCTTGCCATCCAGATCTTTCATTAGCTCAAAAACAAAAAAACAAAAAACAAGAAGTTAGATAAGTCGAAACATTAGTACTTGAGAGGAATTTCTTTGATTTTGTAGAAGAAAAATCATTGCACTACACCAGCACAGACGTATCGAACTCGAAGAATTTGTTTTATTCATGCATGATGGATATCAGTTCTTGTGTTGTGTTAACAAAAGAAAACACGAGCGGATTTTTTGTGGTACATCAATAGTTTAATTAAGAAAGGATTAATTTTCGTTGTATTTTGAAGCTGCGATAATTTTATAATAATATTAATCCGCAGTAAAGCATGCGCATTCAATCTGTAAAGGTCTTCATAAGGCTATATACTGTAACATAAATTGCGATGTTTCAAACCTATTACTGCTGTATATCATACAATAATAATTATTTTTGCTTCATGGTGCGAAAAATTGATTAATAATTATTTACATTAATCTGAAAGCATGTATTTTGTTGTATTTTTAGGTGTGGGACACAATTAATTAAGAATATTATAGACTTTCACCATAGATATCTTATATAAACTAGATAGCGCATCTCTTTTAGTAAAATTGAAGCCAAGAATATTCCAGTGGTTACCCCCATTTGAATAGATGGCGGCCATGTTGGAGTTTCCCACTCGCTTATAAACGCTTAAAAAACAACAATAACTTTCATCATTTGAATAGTTTGAAAATGTATTTGGAATAGGTTTAACTTAATGTTTAAGTTCCCTGTTTAAGAAATAGAAAACATACGAGTCTTCTCATTTCATGGGAATATCCTGAGTCTGCAATCACGCACTATCTAGTGCATATAAGAAAGCTATGACTTTCACGGGTTCGCATGCAGGTTATAATTATGCATTCTTCGCAGCTACTCCTGGTAAGGTCTAATTTAGCTACATTTAGCAAAATTTTTATCTCCAATTTCCATCTACAAAAAAACCTTCAAAATTTTGTTCTATCGAGTGAGATGCCCAAAATTCTGTTGGTGAACTCCATATTACGATAAGATCTGTAGTCTTTAAATAAAATTACCTGATGAATTACTCAATTACAAACCTTAAATTCAGATAAATTTGTCGGAATTATACTCTGTCCTTGTATAGGGTCCCAAGATGGAACTTTTCTTATCCAACAACTTCTGAAAAATGTCTTAGAAGGTTCAGGATCGTCATGTTTTGGTATAATTTTAAATAATAATCCATGATCATCCATGTCACCCCTTTGGATTGTTTTGTCCATACCTATAGTATAAAGTAGAGATGTGTTATGTTTGGTATAGCGATATTCTATTTTAAGATTTACGGATTGGATCGGACATCAAATTATAGTAGTAAACGTTTCATTGGTGTTAATCTAAATCAAGCATGAACCAACTGAATATGGTGACTTGAAATCTTGTGGCAAAAACATGAATATGTTCCAAACGATATTATAATATAACTTTTAGAGTTGTGAGTGTTGATTAGTCGAGAAGCACGTTTCTTTAACTGTTATGGAAACACTGGAAATTTCCCGTCTCGCAGCTTTGATTTTAAAACGCAAAAAAGCAATTTATAATAGTATACACGCGCTGTAATCGAATAAAAAGGTGTGTGATAATATTAGTTTTGACAGTGAAATTAAGAAACTACATTCTCATGCAGTTTAAATATACTGGGAGAACTTGACCATTTTATGGTCAAATTGACGAGCAAATGCCGGGAAACCGTCGAGATAATGAGAATTTATGAATTATATAATTGATAAACACTTTTCTTCGATTATATTATAAAAGAATTAGAAATATTTTCCTGTGTTTCTATACAGGGTGTATCAAAATAAACGCAATTCATCTTTTGTGCTTAATAACTTTCGCAATACTATTTCTAGTTAAACGCTTTTAGGCTTACTTCAAAGCCTGTTCTTTTCTCTTTCAAACAAACTATTATCCTTGTCTCCAATGCTAGTAATAATTGCACAGGAAAAGATTTAGTAAAACCTATCATTTTTAGTTGCTGTTTAATTATGCAAGTTTACTATGTTATTGTTTAGTCTATTTAAATGTTAGAATTTTTTTCTTTAAACTTTAATGTTGTCGTCACTACATCTGGAAAACTACGTAAGAACAAATTAAAAGTGTTTTAAAGGAGACCAGGTTGTTTGAAAATCCTAAACGAATGCTAAAAATTGTCAAAACATTCTGGTGTCTGAGCCAGAGTGTCATCGAATTGCGATGTAATGTAAACAGAAATTATAGCAAGTTGATGTCAGTCAGCTTAGATGGTCCAAGCCAAAATTATATCGCATTTGAAGTTTCAAACTGAGTTAAAAATAGTTTAAGAAAAGCCGTAATTGTACTTATTGTTACAATCCATTTAATAAAATGCAACATTTTTTTGTTTTAATGAAAAAATCAGTTATTTTCATGAGAACGATTTGTTATTCCATCTCAATTTTTTTAATCTCCAATCGCAATAACGTAAAGTATTATTATCCGCGAACCAATGAGTCAAATTTAAGAAACAACCCACTGTTAGAAAGCTGAATGGCTATGCTTTAAAATGAATGTAAACTTTAACGTTTTCGTCCCTTATTTGTTTAGCAATTTACATTTCAGTCGAGGATTGCGCTTTTTTTGATACACCCTGTATACTCGAACTACTGATAAAACGAGGCCGCAAATCTCGTTTTCCCACTCAGATTATTTAATTCTCGTTTTCTCAAATTTTTACGCGTGTTTCTAGAACTGTATATATAGAAACACGGAAATTGTTTTCTATTTCGTAATTTTAATTTTAAACACATCTCAACGAATTCCATTAATTTTAATTAATTTCGTGCATTCTACACTGTGCTATCCAGGGTTCCAGAGGTTTTTTCGCGCTCGCAAAACAAAACGCCAATTAGGCTTTATATTACATATGCTGCATGCATTTCTTGAGAGTGTGGGACAACCTTAGGACAACCCCTGACGCCCAGTATAACAAAATGCAAATGAGTTTTGTGATCAGGAGTTATTATTTCCTTTGAAACGAGGCTTAATTAATTAATAAGGGGCGAACGGTAGTCAATACAATGAAAAGTAACAATATTTGGTATTTTTATTACGCTTGACAAGTGTTCTGCTTGACTGCTTCAAACAAAATGTGATCTTTAAATCTCAAATACGGATGCAGAGTGAACAGATTGTTCTGTCTGTGTATTTGTCACGAATACTAGTAAAAAACACAGCGTGACTATTTCATGATCATCATGAAGACAATGGAATGAATACAACCATTCAGCTTCTGTCTCAGCTTTTAGTGGACATATCACAAATATTTACTTTAGTGGACATATCACATATATATTTTTATCACAAATTTCAGCGATTTACAACCTAAGAAACAAAATTCTGAAGATATATATATATATATATATATATATATATATATATATATATATATATATATATATATATATATATATATATATATATATATATATATATATATATAGCTAGTGTACTTTCATCCAGTCAAGTTAGATACGAATTTTAAACGGTTTTTATGCTATGTACTTTAATTTAAGACTCCTTACGCCATTGTATATTTTGACAGCCGTGCTAAAAGTGTATTCAAAATTTCAAATATATAATTAATAATTCCCTTCGAAACTTATAGTGTAGCTAGATGTATAACGCATGCAACACAGCAAGCGTACATACCGTAGTAATAGTCAATCCTACTCATATTTCTTTCCCCTGCATACCAAGCTTCAAATGGTTCCACTATATTATCATAAGGCAATGTCAACATTCCTGTTGCGTGATAATAACGAGGAAATAATTTATCATAACTTGCATCAAAATCTCCAACAATTGCATATCTCTTAACAGTTACAAGTGTCGATCCTAGTATATATTTCCTCGCCTCAAGACAGAATCCAATCACAACAACAGTAGATAATAATGCAACCCATGCTAGCTTGAATCTTTTAGCTCTATCCTCTGTTCTCTTCTGGAACATTGTCTTGTTAAACTATGTTTGTAATTTTCAACATCTTTCCATTTATTAATCCAAATGAAATAGAATGTAGCAATACAAAATATCATATTTTACATCCTTGAGTAGAAAAACAAATCATTTGGAAATCAATATCGCATTGTTTGGCTAAACTTGGCCATAATAAAGCAAAAGTAACAGATATTTCAAACTGTTACGAAATCAGAGCATGAATATATTACCTGCTAAAGTAAAATAAGATCATTAATTAAGCCGTTACCGTTTGAAGCTAGCAATGGATATGAAATTAAAACATCATTTATATATCTTATACCTTCCGGACTCGAAAATTTTATACATGAATTGTCGTAAAATCTGATGGAGAAGCGACAGAACTGACAGATATGTTTATTGTCTAGCCACTGAAGTGAAGTATACATGGCTATATCCATGACTGCTCATCCGTAACAACTACTCGGATAAACTATTTCAACGATTTTATAAAATATCTAACACACAAATAGTAAAGAGCCCTTCTAGGGACTAGGATTACATTTAGTATAGGCTTTAGTATAATCACAGTATTGCATGTCCAAGCCAACGGCGTTCGCGCCCGGTTCCGGGCATAGGCCGCAGCGAGGGTATTAATTCCGCTCGGCTATTTAAACCCCGGGGGAAATGAAAGCATCAGCAAAATCTAAAGTTCATCAATAATTGCAAGCGCGTGGATTTGTTTCATGGTGTCATGGGGGACCTCTACACTCCACAGTGGGATAAGTAAGATTTCAATTTTCTAAAACGTATAATTATTTGGAAAATCATTTCATACAATGAACTTCCAAGCAATCTTACTTGAGGAAATGAGAATAAATTATTGAACCGCGCCTACATTTGGCTTTATATCATTGGCTCTAACATGCCATATTTTTCCAAACATCTTTTTGCAAAGCTGAAGATCACCAAGAAATCATTTTCGTGCTTTAATATTTATCTGTCTATATACAGTGGTGTTCTGTCCAAACACCATCGCAACGGTTTTGATCTGCATGATTAAATGTTATTCTCCATGTTAGTACATATTCAAATAATAAATCGAAGGCTTTCTAAAGCGCCTTCAGCATCCATCTTATGACTCATATCTAACCACGGAGCACACCTACAGTGAAATGGTCAGTCAGGGGCTAATCCTAATAACCCATCCTGTACCCAAAGAAAATCCACGACTTTTGGTTGAGCGTTGACTGATTCTTTTCGCTTGTGCTAAATGACCGCAGCAAGAATCGAACCTATTACCTCAGAGATGAAAGACGCAATCCACTGAGAAAACCTGCCGCAAGACCATTGCCCGCAAGAACTCGACCCCGATCACCCACCCCATTTGTTGCTGTGGGAGATGACGTATTCACCCTATTAACGTACATGCTGAGCGCTAGCCCACCTACTGAAGAGAGAAATTTTAATTAACGCCTTGTCGGAACTAATGTAAACATTAACAGCAGACGCTATACTAATCAACTAACATAAATAATATAGTTCATGTTTATTATACTAACCTAAGTACTAATTCACCGGAAGTGACGGCGCTAATTCATTGTTTGGTTTAGCCAATAGACAGAGACTATTTACATGTGCTTTATGGGGGAATATATTTGTTATTGGGATCGGGAAATTTGTAGTTTACTTGTGAGAATATTTGAGAGAGAAATTGTGATTTTAAACTGTGATTTGCTGTGTTTCTTATTATTATTGTCTGGGCGACGGGCAGTAGTTTCCTACACGTGGCACCTCCGACGGGATATTTGTGTAAACGCTCGAACAAGAGCAAGAATTCGCAGTTTTCGATGGCTACAAAACCAACTGAACTCGACGAAGCACAGCAAGCGCTCGAGACAAAATTGAAACATATCGCGATAACTCGAGAGAAAACCGAGAAAATTATCTCTTCGAACAACGAACAACGCATAGAAAGACATCGTGATGCTTTAAAGGATCTGGTAAATGCTGCAGATAGTTCTAAACGAACAGTAGAGGGATTAAAAATTGCAAATGGCGAAGATATTGAGAGTATTACAGAGTGGGGAGAAAAGATAGAAAATACCATCGGCCAGGCTGACATCGACTTGGATACATTACAAAAGTGGATCATTAAAACCAAGGAACATACTACAGCTAAAAGTAGAAAAGAGCAACTAGATTTCGAAAAGGAATTATACGAAGATAAGCTACATTATAAAACCCAGTTAGAGGAAACCAAACAACAACAAATCGGGGGAGAAACATCGAGTTCCATGTCAAGTTCTGGGCTCGAAGCGAAGCTACCAAAGTTAGTAATAACAAAATTCAATGGAGCCTACGAAGATTGGCAACGATTTTGGAACCAATTTCGAGAGACAATCGACAAGTCAAGCGTATCGAGTGTGACAAAGTTTTCGTACTTAAGAGAGTTATTGGATAAAAAAGTCAAACCAACTATCGAAGCCCTGCCCTTCACGAATGAAGGCTATAACCGTGCGAAAAGTATTCTCCAGTCGAAGTATGGGAAAGAGTCTGAAATTGTCAAAGCGTACACTAAGCAAATTTTGGATTTACCTTACATCTCGGATGCAAACGTTGGGAAAGTTCACGAATTTAGTGAGAAACTTTCCTATTGTGTTCAGTCATTAGAAACAATGGGGAAGCTAGAACAAATAAATGGTAACGTTGCAATGACATTGGATACGTTAGCTGGAATACGAAGCGATTTGGTTCGGACCAACCCGGAATGGGAGGACTGGGACTACAACAAACTGACTGAGGCCCTAAAGTTGTGGACTCGACGAAATCCCATCAATGATTCGTTAAAGAAAGACACTCGTCCACGAAACCGTGACAACAAGGTATTCAATGCAAAGCTGGGTGCGCGAGGGTGTGTTTATTGTGATGCAAAGGAGCACAAGTCGACTGACTGTCCCAAATTGTCGATACCAAGGAAAGAAAGTCAATACTGGCCAAACGGCGACTTTGTTTCAACTGCACGGGCGATGGTCACCAAGCGGCGAGTTGTACAAGCAAGATAGCATGTCCGAACTGCGAACGGCGACACCATACGTCAGTCTGCAACCAACCGAAGGAAAGGAATAACCTCATGACTGCAAAGAATGGCGAAGGAACATTTCCAATTGTGACGGTGAAGGTGAATGGGGTAACCTGCAGAGCCCTTGTGGATTCGGGAGCTGGCAGCTCATACGTTTCAGCTAAACTGGTTAGTCTCCTGAATAAAAAACTTGTTGATGTGAAAATGAAACAAATTGATATGCTTATGAGTAGTAAGTTGGAACGCCTCGAGACATACGAAACGGAGATACGGTCAGTTGATGGGGACTTCAGCATGCAAGTGGACTTAATCAAGGTAAATAAGAGTGAACTCTTGTCAATTGACAACCCACGCTACAAGGTCCAAGTTGATACCTACCCCCATCTTAAAGGAGTGCATATTCATGATTATGATGCAAAGCCCCAGTTACCAGTGCATGTCGTTCTTGGAGGGGGGGAGTATGCCAGAATAAAAACCGAGAGTTGTCCGCGAGTTGGGAAAGAAGGTGAACCCATCGCTGAACTCACAAAGTTGGGTTGGTTTATTATGTCTCCAGGACAGGAGTTTGACCATAATAACATGATGTTAACACAGACCTGTCAGTCAGATTATGAGGAACTCTGCCGACTAGATGTACTGGGACTGTCTGACACAGCAGAGCACGACCAAAGTGAAGTTTACAGGGAGTTTAAGGAGCAGTTACAGCGATCTCCAGAGGGCTGGTACACAACCAGTCTACCTTGGAAAGGGAATCACCCTCCCCTTCCTACAAATGAGAATGGAAGCCTTCGGCGTCTCACATCCCTGCAGAATCGTCTTCTCAAAAGGGGACTCTTCGAACAGTACGATGCTATAATCGAAGACCAAAAGGTTCAAGGAATTGTTGAGGAAGCACCAGCAAAACCTGAGAACAGGGAGAGTTACATACCCCACAAGGAAGTGGTGAGAGAGACAGCGACATCTACCAAACTGCGTGTAGTATATGACGCATCAGCGAAAGCAACCCCACTTAACGATTGTCTTTATCCCGGACCCTCCTTGCAGAATAAACTCTGGGAAGTGCTCGTGCGACAAAGAACCCACCCAGTGGCCTTGGCAGGTGATATTAAACAAGCTTTTCTGCAGATATGCATCAAAGAGACAGAGAGATGCTCTTCGGTTTCATTGGAGACGAAGAAATGACGAAATCCAGATCCTACGGTTTACTAGGGCGCTGTTTGGACTAGCACCATCACCATTTCTTCTCGGTGGCGTCCTGGAAGCACACCTGGATATGTGGAAAGAGAAACGACCCAACGATGTTGAAGAGATTAGACGCAGTTTGTACGTTGACGACATTCTCAGCGGTGGTGAAACAGTTCAGCAAGCACAAGAGCGAAAGGAAGCTGCCATAACTATACTTGATGATGCCAGATTCTCACTTCATAAGTGGGCATCGAACGAAAGCGACCTTGAAGTAGCACCGACACTTGGAATGCCATGGAACAAAAGGGAAGATACCTTGGGTGTGCAATTGACCCATGAAGAGAACAGCGCAACAACAAAACGGGAAATCCTCAGACATTTGGCTAAAGTTTATGACCCCCTGGGCCTTGCTTCACCATTGACATTGCTAGGGAAGATCATCTATCGAGACATTTGTGATGCAAAGCTCCCATGGGATGCTGAACTTGACGGCGTGCTGAAGTCACGATGGTTGTCATGGAAACGGATGCTTCCTGATATGATAACAGTCCCTAGACCAATCGCTCGACATCAGGAGCCAATTACAGATATCCAACTTCATGGATTCGGCGACGCTAGCAATCAAGGAGTCAGTGCTGTTGTATACGCGCTCGCCAAACAAGACTCCGGAGACACCCAAACGTTAGTGGCTGCAAAGTCTCGCCTGGCGAAACGTGGACTTACCATTCCTTGGCTAGAATTGGTCGCTGGTCATATGACAGCAAACCTGGTTAGCAACGTGGCGAAGGTAATCGGTCAAGAAAGAGTGTCACAACAACATGATGGCATGACAGTACAGTCGCTCTGTATTGGATACGAGGCATGGGGGAGTACCGACAGTTTGTGGCTAATCGTGTCATAAAAATTCAAGCTCACTCCAACATCGAATGGCATCACGTTCCTACCTCAGAGAACCCTGCTGACATAGCTTGGTAATTAAATAAAATGGCCTGAAAGCCTCCATCTCCATGCATCCTCAGAATCACAGTCTGAAGCCAAGGTAACTCGAGAAGTGTTAGCAGCTGCGGTGGCTGAGCCCGAGCAAGATGATCAAGTAAACCTACTTGAGAAGAATAGCTTGACAAAGACCCTGAGAATCGGTGCGTGGGTCAAGAGATTTATATATAATTGCAAGAATGAGAGAGACAACCGAATTGGAGGTTCTCCTCGTTATGACAAAATCCTGAAGGAAGAGAAGTGGTGGATTGCTAAAGTCCAGAAGTTGATTTCAGAAGAAGAACGAGAAAAGCGTAAAGATCTTAACCTGCAAACAAATCAGGACGGACTGTTAGAATGTCGCGGCAGAATTGAGGGACATTACTCACTGTACCTCCCTGATGCTGCACTGTTTTCAATGAAGCTGGTCAAGCGGGAACACAGAGCAACCTTGCATGGTGGAATTTCGCTTACAATGACTAGGATAAGACAGCGTTACTGGATTCCTAAATTGCGCAGCCTCATGAAACTGGTTCAAAGCAATTGTTGGGGATGCAAGCGAAGTCAAGCAAAACCATTGGGAGACCCTTCATCTGGTCCACTTCCAAGCAGCAGGACAATGGGGAACACACCATAGATCTAAAATTCACAAGATACAGTATACGCATTAGTTGGAAATGATTTACAATGAAGAGTTCTTAAAGGGGCCCTACAGTCATTTTTTAGTCGAAAAGCCAGGGACTCCACATGGATTTGTTTGGCTGTATCTTACAAGCATTATCCATGAGTATGAGTATTTCCGCACACAGGAAAACGCATGCATGCTGTAGTACGCATGTCAAGTAGCGACAATAACAAAAAAATGTAAACAATACTTCCTTGACTAAAAAATGACTGTAGGGCCCCTTTAAAATGTACTTTGGTTAAATTAAACAACTCATAAAGCTCTTTGAAATATTTTTCAAATTATACATGTATATTCATATTCATTTAACAGAGCAGTTTACTTTATTCAACTTACTTGTTTTAAACTTTGTCCTTTGCTGTAAAAGAAAACATGGAAGACCACTTAGCATTAGTAGCATACTACAATAAAATTCCTCTTCCAGAAGGCAATTTGTATTTATAATATTGAAAACTGTTTTTTAATGCTTAATATAAATTAGCAGGCAACTTGTTGTATCATTAAAATACATTAGAGGCTGTTTTAGACTATCTCAGGGGCATACATATACAGATGAAGTTGAAATAGAAAAACCCACCAAATAAAGTAGTTCCTGCTCAAAACATATATATTATACAAATAATTGTAGTTTTTAAATATAGACAAATTTAAAAATAGTATTTTTTTCGGAAAAAAACTTACTGTTAAACTCCAAATGCCCTGCGAGACTCAAAATCAAATTTTCGCGCGCTTCGGATTTATTACTTCGTACAATCGTTGCGTGAGAGTTTTTGGTAACCATAGTGATACACACAATGTTCACTTAATATAGTAGAGTGAACTGTATATAGGTATATAGGGATATGGAAAAGAAACTTACCTTTTATATAAATTTGCTTCAGTATCTAGATTTTTAATAAAGATATAAAATATTAATATTTACAAAGTTTTAAATGTTATACTGTAGTATACAGTATGTCGTAACATTGTTCTACTGTACAGCATATGTCATAAGACATACAGTAATGTCATTAGAGCCAACCTCAGAAACATAATGTAAATATTATGTCTAGGTAACAGGCAATGACAAACTCCCTGAATGCCTTCCTCAAAAACACAATAATAGAGGCATAGATATTTACTTTGGTACATGGTATGCAGGGCTGCACAGGGAAATTTGGGGTCCTGGGGCAAATTTTAAAAATTGGCTCATATTTTTTCAAAAAAATGTTGGCAGGCGGGGGGGGGGGTTCACAAACTGTTAGAATATGCTCCTGATATTCTGTTGACAATGATAATAAGATTATTAGTTAATGAATGACATTGATTACTATAGATATGTATGTAAAATGTAATCTAAATACCACAATAAAATACCACAAATTCCAGTACAAATAGTTGCTCCATGTACCAAACTATATACCATTTATGGTAATAGAATGTGATATGTCAAAATACTTATTATAGATATAATCTTGTATATATATGTGTGATTTTTATTATTAAATACATTCTTTTGTAAAACTCCAAAGTTGTATCTTGTGCTTCGTATTCGAGAAAGAGCGATGGCAACGGTACAAAACCCAACAGGTTATGGGCCCAGGAGAGGCTTGATTTTTGATGGAGACGAGAACAAGTATGAATTATGGGAGGTGAAGTTTTTGGGATATATGCGACTCCAAAAACTTTACAATATATTCATTCCTAGCAGTAGCGAAAGAGAGCTAGATGAGGCAAAGAACGCAGATGCCTTTGCCGAATTAGTGCAATGTCTAGATGACAGGAGCTTGGCCCTGGTCATACGAGAGGCGAAAGGCAATGGAAGAAAAGCCCTGACGGTTCTGAGAGAACGTTATCAAGGCAAAGGAAAGCCCAGAATAATTTCGCTGTACACGGAGTTAACGTCGTTGAAGAAGACAGAAAATGAGACAATTACGGACTACATCATACGGGCAGAAACTGCCGCGACCGCATTGAAGGCTGCCGAGGAAGTAATCAGTGATGGACTTCTGATTGCCATGGTACTCAAGGGTCTACCAAACGCTTATAAAACATTTTCTACGGTGGTTATTCAACGAGAAAACCAGATGAATTTTGGCGACTTCAAAATCGCATTGCGTAACCACGAAGAGAACGAGAAGTGCTGCAGACCGGCGGAGAATGGCGACAACGTAATGTACGTGAAGAAGAAATTTGAAGGAAAGTGTTTTAATTGTGACAAGAAAGGACATAAAAGTTCCGATTGCTGGATGAAAGCTGAAAAATGGTGCAACAAGTGCAAGAGCAAGACACAATGCCAAGGATTGCAGAGCAAGAAGAGACGGTGTAAAGATGGCCGCTGAAACCGGCGAAGAGAACGCTAAAATACATTCATTTGCATTTACACTTAAGGAAAATAATTTTAATGGAGGTAAGACCTCAAATCTACTAGTAGATACAGGGGCAACAAGTTATATAATTAATGATAAATCTAAATTTGTAAATTTTGATGAGAAGTTCGACCCAAGTAATCATGTAATAGAGTTAGCTGACGGAAGTAAAGCTAATGTTGTTTTAGGTAAAGGTAACGCTAAAGTTAAATTGTACGATATTAATGGTAATTTACAAGATGTAATGCTTAGTAACGCGCTGTATATTCCGTCTTATCAGCAAAATATTTTCTCTGTTCCTGCTGCAATAGAGAAGGGGGCTGCTGTTAGCTTAGATAGGGAAGTTAGAGAGTACAGGGACCCCGAGGGAACAGTGTTTGGTATCGAACAGGTAGGTAAATTATATTACTTAAATAGTATATCATCTTCTCAAAATAACGCATCGTCCCTAATGGAATGGCACAAGATATTAGGGCATTGTAATTATAATGATGTGCGCAAACTTGAGAGCGTGGTTAAAGGTATGAAGATAGTAGATGACAAGGAAATCCTTTGTGAGGTATGTACACAGGGTAAAATGTGCCAAGTGATCGAAATGTAACAGTAAAAACACAAAATGCTAATTACAGAAGACCTATTACTAAAATCTCAGTTATACACCCCGTGGACGGAGAATAGAATGAGAACAATGTCCTCATTGGGGTGTAGGATGTTTCGCTAATTTAAAAATAGATAAATAATTACGTCATTGAACAGACACAGTCACGTGACAG